CAGTATACTGTTTTAAAATAATATTAAGAAGATTTAGGTAATATATCATGTTGAATTATACAGTAAATAATAATAATTGTCTCAAGTTTTAACACACATGTCATAAGTCACTGTAGCTGCAAAGCACGTCGTATTAGGCCTACTTACTAGTCATGCAAACAGCAGTACAGCCTCGTCGCACCACTCGGGTTTAACAGTATCATATTGTTTTTAACGATTGGAAAAACTATATATACATTTTATAGAGGGTGTAGCTAAATAAAAGCTTTCCTACGTAAGAGCTTGTATGTCTACAAAATACGTTTACTTTGGACACACTCAACACAGATGGAATTCCTCAGTGCCCATCAAAATTTTACAGTAGGTAAATTTTACATAATTTTTTTCCCTTTCCCACCAAAAAGTGTTGCTAGTTGTAAGCTATTGGAGTACCCTGAAATGGCTCTAGATTGCATCTCAGAGCTTATAATTTTCAAATATGTTCTGGCCCCCAGACCCCCATAGAAGTCCCCGACGTGTACCAGACTACCAGTCTGTCTCTCTGCTGTCAAAGTGGAGAGTCGTAGTTACCAAGGAGCTACATATAACAACGATATGGCGTTTCCTTAATTGTGAGCCCCGGCAAAGAAGCATAAACAGTCATCCGACGAGAGGAAGGAAAAACAGAGGGATTATGATTATGGACATTGATAATTACTAATAAACACAAGGAAGAACATGATATGCTGTTTTATTACTGTAATTTGCTCCAAAATTGGCGGGCCTACAGCTTTGCTGGCTGGCCTGCAGCTTTTAGGAGCTATAGGCCCTGCAGGCCTACAGTTTTTTCTGATCAGTGGCAAACACTGATCATGATGCATAAAATATCTGAGCCATTTTATAATGCGTGATGTAACAGGTTTTGCCCCTGTAGCATTGTGCATGATTTTATGGGAGTGTACTGTATGAATTAGTGTTGGAGATCGGTCCAAATTTCATGATCGATCATCGGTTTTACAAAACGACCGATGATCGATTAATCATCGATCATTTTAGATTGTGGCGACGACGTGGTGACGCCGCGTCATTGTCGACACAACCGGTGTATTGCGAAGGAATATTGACATGATTGTATGTGTAGCTAGTATTTAATGGTAAGTAAATTAAGGATACTGTTGGCATGATTGTATGTGTAGCTAGTATTTAATGGTAAGTAAATTAAAAGGATACTGTTAGGGTTACAGACGGGTAACACTCTAAAGAGCATTGCAACATAACTGCTCATCAAATTCAATCAAACTCATATCCATTACATAAGAGAGATGTCTCTCTATGCTATCGATGAAAATTTTTTATTAAAAATTTATTGCTATAATTAAGTGACGGCAAAAAATGTCAATTTATACAAAAATTATTTTTTGGTTATTTCTCAGAAACAGCAGAGTTGGGACCTAAACTTTTAACCATAAGTTGTTCATAATATGAACAAAAAAAGGGTCCCTGTAATTTTTTTTAAATGTTTTAATTTAAGAAATAAGTTGAAAAGATGTAGGCAAATTTAGGATTAGGCTTGATTTTTAGGAAACAAAGTCGCTTAGTTCCTTGGAAATTTATACCGCACCGTGTTTACTAGTATTTGTGTAAATGTATGTACTTGTGTCAAATCTGGAAATAAAAAAATAATCGGTCGTCAGATTTTCTACTCGATTAGTCAACTCGTCAGCCCAAACGAGTAATGATCGGCGAACTCGATTAATCTGAACACCACTAATATGAATTGCATCGTTATGACCAATGTGTCATCCCCTTACAGTAATACCCCACATTTCAGGAGGGATGACATTAAATGATTTACCATTACACGAACGTTCTATAACTTAAACACCTATTTCCATATTACATTTCATTATATATACAAGTAAAAGATAGATTTATGGAACGATCATGTTATCATTTGCCAGTATACAACCAATCTGGTGCCTTAAATCGAATTAACAGGAAATTGTACGTAGCTGCAGTAATACTAAATAGGCATTTACGTGCAGGTACATTCCATTTGATGTTCAGCTAGAAAATGTGTATGTGCTAGAATATGCAATCAATCTTCACTGCGTTTATTGTCAGGACTACATCTCCGTGAAGGAGAAGCATGCCAAGTACCTGCCGCATTCGAACCTGCGGTACCAAATGAAGCGCTTCCGCAAGGCGCAATGCCCGATCGTCGAGCGACTGACCTGCTCCATGATGAAGCATGGACGTAACAACGGCAAGAAGCTGCTAACCGTGCGCATTGTCAAGCATGCATTCGAAATCATCCACCTTCTTGCTGGAGAAGTACGTACACTGTTGCTCTCGCCAATCTTAGTGCAATTTGTTGTCTCCGAGTGATTCACCCATCAGGGGTCATGAGGTCATCATCATTTTTGGATAGTAATTTCAACAATGTTGGTATCCAAAATCTTTAAATATGCAATAATAGCATTTGAAAATTATTAATATGTAATGTAATTATTATATAAAAACATGAAAACAGATTCACAGATATTATTAATATGTAATGTAATTATTATATAAAAACATGAAAACAGATTCACAGATATGCACAGACAAGTACACTGCAGACGTATTGTCTAGACGCATTGTCTGGTTCGCTTGATACAATGTATACACATCACATTTATGATCAGATCGCGCACTCGCTCTACGTGCACTCGCTCAGATGCGCTGCCGTATAAAGTTGATAACTCAACAACCACTATCCCGATTTTGGCGATTTTTTTTTTACTATCGGCGGGATACCAAGCATTGAAATCTGGTATCCAACACAAGAATCTACTATCCCGCGGATATCGCGATACCGCTAATTTCGACCCCTGCCCATGGTGGTGTTTCCTGTATAGGAGGATTGCAGATCGCACATGATTGTGATTTAGATTAGAGGAAATTGTGTTGTTTGTGCAAATTCTATGATGATAAATATACCTTTATGATTGTCTGTGATTACTGAAATCCATACTCTAATTTTTTACTGAGAATTTGCCAAGTTCGTTGTAACATTTTAGTAATTAGTGTGTAGTGAGATGGTTGTGTTTCATAATAAATTTATTATACATGTATCAAACTTACTCTTACTCTTAGAGTCTCGTATGGTTGTTTTTAACCTTTAATTGTTAACAAATGATTACTAATTCTATATATTCCAAGACAGTTTGAAACTGGCCATATTTAGTTAACAAGGAAGATGATATATCACACGTATTCCACATATTGCATTGTTTTACAGAATCCCCTGCAAGTGTTGGTGAATGCTATCATCAACAGCGGTCCACGTGAGGACTCTACACGTATTGGACGTGCTGGCACAGTTCGTCGTCAGGCTGTAGATGTGTCCCCTCTGAGACGTGTCAACCAGGTAGTTAGTTGTTGAACAACATCTACTAGTGAGAAAAATGATAGACCGTCAACGTGTATTTAGTGGAAAATCGTACGTTTAAAGCCTACTTGAGGGTGAATTTGTTGACTTGGGTAAGAGTGTATTTGTTAAACGTGTAGAACACGTTACTGTAATATTGTTGCAACTGACAAGTTACGTAAGACAAGTTACTTTCTGTCGCACATGATTGTGATTCAGATTAGAGGAAATTTAGTCGTTTGTGCAAATTCTATGATGATGAATATATACCTTTATGATTGTGTGTGATTACTGAAATCCATACTCTAATTTTTTACTGAGAATTTGCCAAATTAGTTATTATTATTAGTAATTAGTGTGTAGTGAGATGGTTTTGTTTCATAATAAACTTACTTGTGGGTCAATTTGTTGACTTGGGTAAGAGTGTGTTTGTTGAATGTGTAGAACACGTTGCTATAATATTGTTGAAACTCACAAGTTACGTAAGACCAGTTCCTTTTTGTCAGGTCAGCATCTGTTTAGTAATGTAGTAGTTGTGCAGTGTGAAAACAACTAAACTCTAGGGTAATTTGCCATGAGATTGCAAGTTATTTGAAAAGAGTAGCACTATTTCTTCCCTGAGACTTTACAGTGCTTGTGTTGGAAGCTACATATTTGCTGTACAACGTGTTGTTTGGTTGAATGTTGCATTAACAATTGAATTACTATTTTGTGTTAGGCCATCTGGCTGCTCTGCACCGGAGCTAGGGAATCCTCGTTCAGGAATATCAAGTCCATTGCAGAGTGTCTGGCTGATGAACTGATCAATGCATCCAAGGTAACAATTCTACTTGTTTTAACTTGTCTGGTTGGTAGTTACATTCTGTGCTCACAATTTAAGAAAAAACTTGTGGCCCCTGGAGTTATTTGGACTTGATGTGGTGTCATTTGTAAAAAGTTGAACTTGTACTGCATGCAGTAAAAACAACAAGATATTGTATTTCAACATAGTTACAGTGTATTAAGAGCTGGATTTTGTAAAGTGCCCAAGTCTGCCACCACTGGTTTTAGACTACCCATCCAGGTTCTCCAACCATTCCTCATTCTGCGGAATCATTACGATTTCTAGGCTTAATTTCCGGATTCTGCAGCGGCAAGGTTATATTCCTCATTTCAGTTGCACTGTACAACAGGGTTGGAGACCCTGCCCAGCATACCTGGAGGCGTGAAATGTTCAGATTACCAGATAATACATGATAGAAGTTGAATTCAGCCTGTTAAACTGAAATTTGTTGGGCAATGCTGAATAGCTAAACTCTGGTGCTGTTGTTTATTTTGAACCAACTAGCTTGGGTACCCGGCTTTGCACGGGGAAAAACACTTGGGAACAACTTGTAGAGCAAATTCTGACACATCTATTTACTTAATTTTAAGGCTAGAGTCGTAACAGAGAAAGAAAATATGAAGGGGTAAAGAATAATATTCTGACAAAAACAGTTGGAAAGATTCTATGTAGTCAATTCTTCTGGTTATACAACATTGTTATGAAATTGCAACTGGTGACGTCTGTCACGTGTCTCTCTTATCATTGGGATTCACAATACATCAAAATAATACATGGAAACTCTCATTAGTATTGAAATTACTGTGTATTACAGGGTGCGAAATTAACGGGAGTCCGGAGTCAAATACTCCCTGATTTACTGTCGGACTCCCTGGTTTGACATATGCAGGAGTCCGTGTGACTCCCTGAAAATTCTGCCATACTAACTAGTTCGTTCCGGAGCACGGCCTCGCGGAATTACTGTATTTTTTCAGCTAATGTCCAAAGAAAATTTGGTAGACATGCAACTGCGTTAATCTTAAAAATAAGCACATGCGTTATTATTAATATCTTTGAATCTCGGACTGCGGACTCCCTCATTTTGCTGCAGACGCCCTCTTTTTGAGGGTAGGGAGTCCGTCCGTTGGGCTCCCTTGTTCAAAAGTTAATTTCTACCCCTGGTATTAAGTATTGAGCATCTAATTGCCAATGCTACCTGAAGAGTTGGCAATTCGACTAACAACCAGCAGCATCTAGTGAGCGCACAATAAAAATCACAAAGGAAATATGCTGGAAAAGACTCGCTTATTGTACAATGATCAAACACACTACATAGGTTTAAAACAAACTATACTATACATTACTCTAGGTCAGTGGTTCCCAACCTTTTCACCACCAAGGACCCCTTTCATTTAAATGAATTTCCCCACAGACCCCAGGTTTTTGAAAAGTCATGTCTACTCAAGTTTACTCAACAAGCAGATTTTATTAACTAACAAAAAACCTGATTTCCCACGGACCCCAGGTTTTTGAAAGGTCTGGCTACTCAACAAGCAGATTTTATTAACTAGAATCAAACTCGTTCCCCCAGCTTCATCTCTCAGTTGAAAGACATATGTAACGGAAGCAGCCGTTAGGCTATTTTATAGCTATAACATCTACCCCGCACAACCAATGTTGCCATACTGAGTTGATAATATTATTGCCAAGAACAACCAAACGTTTGAATGTTTATCTTTAGCAGCCCTATCGTGAGTAATTATACATTTTAGTATTTTACGCTGGAGCCTCTTGAAATTTTGAACTTGGCTCACAGATCCGCAGTACTTAGTACCTTTGCGGACCCCCATGGGTCCGGGGTCCCCAGGTTGGGAACCACTGTGCTAGGTTCTTTGCAGATTTTCCGTTAAAATAGGTTAAAATAATGCCACGAAGTTTTGTTTCAATATTCATTGGCATTTTTTTTAAATTGTAAAACTGACAGCTATACCGTTGCTAACAATGGTGGCGCCACTGGGAGCGCACCCACTAAAAAAGTTGCGCAAAGCAACGTTTCGGCTGCAGGCTACAGACCGCTCTCTCTCTCTCTGCGTGCATGCTATCTACCCCCTTTCTCGTTCCTCTATAACGTGAGAACTGTTGATGTGATATTGCGAATAGGCACATTTAAGCTGTGACTTTCTAACATCCCCTTCTTGCTTTAGTACTGGCACAGACAGTTAGGTTAGCATTGTTGCTCCACATCACTTGTAATGTTTTGGTACATACTAATTATGGGCTTTTTCAATTTTAGGGATCTTCGAACTCTTATGCCATCAAGAAGAAAGACGAGTTGGAGAGAGTTGCAAAGTCTAACCGTTAGCTTGTGTTTAAAGGAGGGCTTTACCTTACGTGTATGTATGAAGCAGAAAAATAAATGAATGTGATTAAGATGTTTTATTTTGAAGTTAAAAACTGATTGCAAGCAACGCAGATACGACCAGGAATGATAAATATACATAACCTCACAAATAACATCTTTTGAACTTCGAACATCGCATTATTTAATTTAATGCATGTGATGGAAATGGCATAATTTGAGCAGAACTAACTTGAGACCAAGACTATAATATTTCATGAACATGACACATTTTTATCCTCGTAAGGAGGGGTTGCAAAGACATTTATTTTTACAGGCCATTTTGTAAAGATGTAATTTGACATGACTGGGAAATAGCAAGATCACAAATATTTCCAATAGTAAAACGTACATTATATCAAGAGTACATAATAGAGATCTCTGTTATGTACTCTTGATTATATGTATGATTCAATTGAGTAAAATTATAATGTTGCAATATGTCAGTACTCAGTAGCTATAGACTAATTTTTTAAGCTGGATGTGGTGTTATTTGGTACACTGGTTGATTTTTGGCATCAATTCTATAATAATGACATCCCGATATAACGTCAAGGACCCTATTTATGTACTCCCAAAATATATTTAATAATACATATGCTATTTTTTAAATGCAATAATGTGCTTAGCCTAATTTATAGGCATGTTACTCTGTGAGAGCGATACTAGTGCCGGACACTGTCCGGTAAAACAGAATGTCATCAGACTGCCGGTATTGGCCAATGCAACGCTTGCCATGCCTTCCTAAAGTAGTAGTTTTATGAACAGGTACAGATATTTACATCAACAACCTGTGTAGGTTGTAAGGTTCCATAACACCAACATTGTTTATTGCTGTATAACAACCTCGTGATAGTTTGTGTACACCACCCGTAGGCGTCAGTCTTGCTCAGTGATAACAAACACCTTACTGTCAGTGTGCTTGCGGCGCGAGAATACCTCGCGCGCGCTTTCGCGGAAGCTCTTCGTCATGAACGCGTAAATGAACGGATTCAGCGCGCTGTTGCAGTAGGAGAGCGTGTGCGCGAGCGCCTTGATAGCGAACGTCGCTTCCGTGTAGCGCCACGTACCGGCGTCGTGACTCAGCTGTACACAGTGCGCAGGTAGCCAACAGACAGCGAACACTGCAACAATGACGAGCAGCGTGCGCGCTGTCATCGTACGTGACGTCAGCATCCTGCCGGCCGACGCCGCGACGACGATGGGGCTGACGGTGCGGCAGAGGCTGCGCGCCATGAGCACGTACGTCGATGTGATGACGATGAGTGGAGCGACGTAGAACGCGATGAAGAGTACCACTGTGAAGCCGGTACGGTGCGATGGCAGCTGCCAGTGCTCGACGCAGTACTCCTGCCACTCTCCTGCAGAATGGCCATGAAAAAACATGCAGGCATGAGAATTTTCCGCGGATTCGCGGATTTCCAAGTTTTGGTTTTCATTTTGGTCATTCTTGAGATCGATGCAAAAAAAAACGAATAAAAATTTGAGGGGGGATAAGGTGTACTTTTCTTATCAAAATGGACACCATTTTTAATTTTAACTTCATAAAAAGTCAGGGAAAGTATGTCAAATTCGTTACATGGGTACGATGTGTTGGAAGAAGTTGCAGTCATCTTATACAGCGAGTGTGAATGTGTCGCTGGTTTTAATACACGAAACCTGGTGAGATTTAATAGAACATGACTGAAATTTCGATAATTCCAAAACATTCTTAATATTCAATATATTCACATACTTAATTCGAGAATGCACGCATGACGTGGTATGGTAAGAAAGTCTGTACCTCTATCAAAGTAAATTGCAACACGCATTATGAAGAGCACAGGGGCCAAGCCAATGAAGCTGGTCATCCAGATGACTGTGAGAATAACTACTGTTCTTTGTACTGTTCTGCAACATTGCATACATAAGATATTGTTTTAGCACGTTTGTCATACTACAAATTTGTTACAAGACTGATACATAGTGCTACAGTTTCTAGTCCAACTGGATGGTTAAAAACTTAATAGTAATGTATAATAAGGGTATTACATTACAACTACAAGTACGTATCATGTCGAATTTTATCCGAGAGGGAATTAGTGCCTTAACATATATATATATATATATATATATATATATATATATATACTAGCAGTATGTTAAGTATTAGGCAGTGGGTACGGTAGCCGTATCTTAATGCCTCGAGGCTACGGGTACGGGAGTCCATTCACTTTCATACTTAACGAGACAAAGATGGCGGCGGTGGCGCCAGATTTCGAAATAACGCCTTGGGAAATAAATTCACGATTTGAGAGTTTAGATGAGCTAGAACCCTAACCCTAACCCTAACCCTAATCCTAACCCTAACCTTAACGCCAAAAAGGGGCTTCAACGACCGACGGCTACCGTACCCGTAGCCACTGCGTAATTGGCAATACATTTCTGATTATACGTGGAATAATTGAATGTTGGGATTTTTAATGCGTTTGGGAATGGTCACGATGGGTGGGTGACTAGGTAATCGGCTATGTGTTGTCATTCATACCTGAAGATAAGAGACCTTACTGGTTGGACCACAGCGTAATACCGGTCAACGGCCATAGCTATGAGTGTCATCACACTGGCCGACACTGCGACGGTAGTTAAGTACGTCCATACTTTGCCTGATAAAATGGTAATGAAATAGGGTTATATGCAGGGCCGGACTAAGCGTGTGGGGGGGGGGCCGGGGCACGCAATTGTGTGGGGGCCCTATAGTCTGTATTTTTTCCGCACTTTCATGCTTGCAAATTTAGAGAGTATTTCATCGCGTTTCAATGAATTTAAAATGTCACTTTCGACAGCGAGAATACTGAGGTTTACCAGTCTCTGTTGGCTCATCGTGGTTCTCATGTGATTTTTAATCAACTTGAGTTTTGAAAATGACCTTTCACCGCTACAATTCGAGACCATCAATAATCAGCTGAACAGCGAAATTCAGTCAGCGAAAGAGCATGGGAAACGCATCACTTCAACGTTACATGCTAAGAATTTTGTGGATCACAATTACGACAGTTTTGTAAATTTTAGGATACTCTAAATGTGGGGGGCCCGGGGCACGTGCCCGTTGCCCTGCCCTTAATCCGCTAGTGGTTATATGTGTTATAAAGCTATGGGCACCGTAAAGTTGCATCACCATAATTTTAATAAGCTTGCGCGTGACTGAAATAACTGTTTGTGTGTGTTGTAGCAATTTACCAGAAGCACACCGATCAATTATTTCCTTAGATCCTCAACCGATATTTCTATAATGACGATCACGATGCAAATAAAACCAAGGCACGTACATACAATCTGACCAAACGGCCAGTACGGCAGCAGATAGTTTATGGTGATAAACGGGACGCAGAAGACCAGTAGGATGAGGTCAGCAACGGCAAGGTTGACCAGATAGAGACTAGTGATTGTTCTCATCGATCTACTGCAAAGGACGACGTACAACACCAAGCCATTCGACGCGAGGCCAACTGCAAAGCATCAAACAAATGAAATTATGAAACAATAAAGGATACGATAATCAATGCCACCTGGTGAGTGGTGCTGAGAGGGTCTATGTCCCCCAGGGTACTGCCGGAACTTACCCTGGGTACGGTCGGGTATACCGGAACGGCGGAACGTACCCTGGTACTATCTAATATGCCGGACCGTACCTCGCCTACTCCACTAACGAGGACAACGAGTCTAGGGAGTCGCCTACGCCTACTCACTAACCCTAACCCTAACCCTAACCATATCAAATAGTTACCAGGGTACGTTCCGGTATACCGGACCGTACCCTGGGGGACATAGACCCTATGAGCGTGAGTGGTATTAGTTCAAGTCGTTACATAGTAAGACACGAACGCACGCGCACGCATCATGAAAAGTAGGAGATGGGTTAAAGACCTACTGAGAACCGTTACAGGTTACGCCTTGGTATTTGTTTGGAAATTTTAAGAATATTTTCTAACCACGTATTTTTTTAGGCGTGGGTGTGGGTAATTCATGTACTTGCGATCTTGCAACTGCGCGGTATCTGGTGAATAATTCGAGAACGGAAATGCGTCACTTACCTAAGAATATAAGCGAGAATACGAGCGGAAGTGTAATAGTTATTATCCGGTCTTGGCCATCACCGGCGTAGCTGGAGTAGTTGATGTAGTCGTAGTCAACGTCTTGTGGACCGGTGATGCTACAATTAAGGCACACCACCGTGCAGTCTAGACATATATCTTCGTCATCCATGGCGACAGCCTTTACTGCCATATGAGAATCCATTAGCGGTCGATTTTCGATTCCTTTACCTATAAATATGGTGAAAGTAAGTGCTCTCAAGCACGTAAGTAAGTCAGAATGTGGTCTCAGTTAATAACATGGCGTGCAATCACGCACACACGCACGTGGGTTCGTGGGCAATCACGCACACACGCACGTGGGTTCGTGGGCAATCACGCACACACGCACGTGGGTTCGTGGGCAATCACGCACACACGCACGTGGGTTCGTGGGCAATCACGTATACAACTATTTGGTATGAGGGCACAGAATTATAGGAATTTGTACGAATTTTAATAATTTTTACGCTATTAAATAATCTATAAAGCGCAACAAGACCACGACGCACGCACCGCACGCACACAACGACACACACAACACACACTCACCACACACACAGGCACACACACACACCGCGCCCACACACACACACACACACACACACACACACACACACACATACCCCCCCACACATCCAATGCAGGATTGTTTGGATTTTCAAGTCTTGGAAAGTTTATAGACAATCTTTTGACGATTAGGCATATACATAATGTTAATGTAAATTTCCAAAATGCCAAATGGTTATGACCGCCTTATTTAGTTTATATAATAATAGTACATCAATTGTTAAACTGCTAAAGGACAGAAGCGGCGTGTTATTTGTTATAATATGTGCTAAATGATAATGACATGTGCGCGCGCATGACTTACCTTTGGTATATATCTACCGATTTCTGTATGTAAAACTCTTATAGAGTGACACTGTCGACCCGAGCACAATGTTGTTCGCAATGTTTTGATACAAGCACTGTGCGCTCTAGTGAAACATTTTCGTTACAGGCTACAGCATCCTCACCTTGCTGCCTTCTACGTCTGATAACGCCTGTCAATGTCCGACATCCACCGGCAATCATTCCTCAAGAAGAACAAAATTCTGTATACGTATTCTATCGCAATATACGAGTTAACACACGTATGTCGGAATTTATATTTGACTTCTAATGTCACGCGAACGTAGAACGAACCAAACAAACATGTCCGACGCCCAGGCACCCGCTGATGCATACTGGGGAGCCAACGGACCGTGGAAGAAGTCAGGCGCTCACGCGTAGTGGTGTATAATACAACTAAGGCCGTTGGGTCGGCCTGTATACGGTGAATGCGCGTATAAGAGTGGTGGCGATATCTGGCCGCTACCTCTCCCTCAGCCCGTTGTTAACCAATCACACCCACCCACTCGTATGAGGACATTCGAATCCCCTTATTGAGATGATAATTATTCGGCGAGTCAATCATATACGTACATTCATTCGTACGCACATATTAAGTTATCACAAGCGCCGTCGTTTCTGGCAGTCTCACAATTTTACATACGCAAATACGTCAATCGAAACAACGAAGGAGAAAACTATTAATAACTATTAAAAATATTAACTAAAAATATTAAAAACTATTAATAAAGGCCCCCATAGCCGTCAGATCGGGTTTGAGAGCGTTAATTACGCGTAGACGATGATAAGCCTGCTTCTGGGAAAAGACGAGTTTTTCCGATTCCATTTGCGACATACAATCTTAAGCCGGTTAACTAGTGGTTGCCTCTACATTTACCGTGAATATTGAAGGACGTCTATATTAAAAGAATGTTCGTTTAATCGGCTGATTGCGATATCAGCAACGACAGTAACGCGCCGCATTATGATAACGCTGGAGGTTCGATGAGCGAAATCTGCTATGAATACAAGTTTTAGTTATGAATTGATTGACAATAAATTGAATAGCTATTAATTCGTAAACAACATATCGATGCGAGAATGAGTTGCCTGTGACCCCATGCTATTATGACGCAGCGGGTATGACAGCTGGAACCCAACAGAGTAGGATGTGCGTCCGGTCTACACACATTGTGCTGAAGAAGTAACCATACACCGTTTGCAGTAGTGTGAAGGCGCAGAGCCACCATTTCTACTGCGCTCACGTCCGGACTATATTCCGCATATAAACGCGGCTGGTGACAACATGATACGCTATAACAAGGTGTTACCCGAGATCGATGTTACCCACGATTTTGCTTTAGCTGCATGTGATGTTGTTCAACACAGTCGCGTTTAGTCAAAACACTGAGGCGTCTGACTAACTGACCGCTTACTCGATTTACGCATTCGTTGTTACACCGGCATTATAATACGCATCAGCGTTGAAATGTGCGCCGTTCATATTGAATATTTAAGCGCCATCTCGGCGCTGCTACTGTTTTGCGCATCACTCACACCTGCGTTGACCCTGAGTGAGTGCAGCAGAACTCCGGTAAAATTTCCGCCGTACAGATTTACGAAACGCGGCGACGTTATGTTGGGCGCGGTTATACCCGTGCACGAATATAGCAGCACGGACTACTGCGGCAAGGACATCGACCCACCGTACGTTCCGTATGTCTACAGCCTCGCGTTTGCCGTCGATCAGATCAACAAGAAAACGGCTTTGCTTCCGAACGTCTCCCTTGGTTACGTGATTGTCGATTCGTGCGGCAAGGATGTTACTGGTTTACTACACGCTCTGGAGTTTCTGCCGAAAAACAAGTCCTGTAGTAATCAGACTGGAATAGGTAGTTGTAATTACTGTGGCTATTATTATTATTGTTATTGTTATTGTTACTGTTAGTGTTATCGTTAGTATTATTGTTATCGTTATCGTTATCGTTATCGTTATCGTTATTGTTATTGTTATTGTTATTGCTATTGTTTTTATTATAAAGATCCGAATTATTTCAACCCAATAGCGGACTGGCACAATACTGATGTCACAGATGCACACATGCACGCACGCGCACACACTGCAGCGACAATGACCAACCGTAACATTCAGCGTCAAAGTCGCAGCGACTGACACTGTCATACTGCAGGTGTTACCGACTGGCGTTAGGTCAACTAGTTGATGTCAACTAGTTGAGAGATTAGAATATGTTCTACTTTCTCAAGTTTTGGTCAGCGAGTTGATCAATTTTTTTGATTTGATTTGATGCAGCCAATAACAATCAGGAGGTATATCCATCCACCCAGGGGGAGATAATTTACGCAATAATGTAATTAAATGCGTTGAACATCGTATAGAAAGGTGAATAGAACGTTGAAAGCTGGATCAACTCGTCAACTTTTCAACTAAAAGTTGATAGTGTAAAAACCCAGCTTTATTTGGGCAACCATGGACAATAAAAGCCCGAATCTAATAAACCTGAATTTCCCTGAGCACATATATATACTGCCATTACATCGCAGTCGTCAAACAGATTAGCAGCCGAATTTCGCTGGGAAATGTTTTTGCGAAACATTGTCTAGGGCTGTGATTGCCTGCTTATGAAGTGTCGCACAACAATGTCGATGGAAATCGGAAATGATTTTAAACATGGTTGTCGTTACGGTTGTCGCTGGACGTTATCACGTGGTGCGTGTGCAACAGCTCATTGGAAACAATAGTTTCTCATTTTCTAAAATGTCATTAGACGTGACGTTTTATCGTTGTATTTGCAGTGTCTCTACCACTGGTGCCTAGTATGTACGAGCTGTTAGTATATATAGAGGTCAGTGGACCTAACCTTTATCGTGTTAAATTTAGTATTATCTTATAAGTTATTTATTAATGATCCTGTGAATTCATATAAATTTATATATGTATATAATATCATATTATCAAATAATACTCTAGACGGCATGCATTAATTGTGAGCTCACAATCATGCTAAATCTGTTTGTCAAATCCTGGTTTCTCACAGGAGATGCCTACCCGGATGTTATAGGCGTCGTTGGAGGACGCTTCAGTTCAGTGACTCAACAGATGGCGCTACTGCTCGGACCGTTTCAAATCCCGCAGATCAGTTATTTTTCAACGAGCGACGAGCTAAGTGATAAAAACAAGTTTCCCTACCACTTGCGCACAATTCTACCCAACAGAGTTCAGGTACGGTTTACGTGGTTATGCCATATCATCATGAAGCCTCTAAATAAAATGCACCAAACTATATAAGCTGCAATATTGTGCATGCCATTATCCCACTCTGAGATATGTTATAGGGCCTACAGCATGGCATTCACGGCCAGTGCAAAATTTACATCGTATTATCGGCAATACTAGTGTTTAGTA